TCTCTCTCTCTCTCTCTCTCTCTCTCTCTCTCTCTCTCTCTCTCTCTCCAATATCAGTGCGTTCTCACAGGAACTTGAAGACAAATGAAGAAGGATCGATGGCCGATGGCTCACACATCTGCCCGCCCCGGCCACATCGGCAGCCGACGCTCGTTAATTCACCGCTGCTCAATCTTCTTATTGCCACGGCAACGCCGCCGCGATCGCAGCATCCGCACGCTCCGACGGCACCCTGCAGCATCGTGAGGAAGCACTGCGTCGCTCCCTCATGCGAGATCGACAGATCGATGACGCGTCGCGACAAAAGCGCCCCCTCGTGGGCGGGCAAAGCGGGACTATTGTTTCGCGATCGACGCGCAGAAAGGTTCAAATGTTGGCGGGCAAGAATAAAATATGCTCAGCTATACAGCCAATGAAGGAAACCATTCGATGAAGAGGAGTAGTAATGCTTGCTACGTACGGTGTGGAAATAGGAGAGAGGGGGACATTGACATGATCGAGGAGGTGACAATGCCGCAGCGGGAGTGGATGAGAAAGGGCGGTGGCATCACCGACGTTTATCCCCCCCCCCTCGATGACATCACAGTGCAGCATCGTACTGCTTTGCGTTGCCGCGCCGACGCCGACGCGGCAGAGTCGTAAGAAGCGGGTTTCAATCTCGTTCGATCGACCGTCGCCGCAGCGTTCTCGCGACGAGAATTGGTCCAATTAACCGGCAGCGCTGGGAAGCTGATTATCATAGTAACCCCACACATGCGCTCGCGCACACACACCGAGCCATCGATCGCTCGATGCAAGTCAATTACCCCGGCCCCACTCCGCCGCCGCCGCTGCAGCCGCGAGAGGGTCGCCCGCCAGGGGCGCCCTCTCAATTGACCCCCGCCCCGACCCAACCCTGGGGAGCAGGGAGGAGATGGTGAGAGAAGAAGGGATAACATGACAAGGGCAAAGAGAGGAGAATAGATAAGAGGACAGGGTAGGGGAGGACAGGAAAGTGCAAAGAAGGGGAGGAGAGGAGACGGCAGACGTAGAGTGAAGCCTTCAATAACCCAGCGCGATCACAACGACAGCCGAGAACACCTCGCATAGCACAGCTCTACGCAATCACCAGCCCTCATCACACACATGCCACACGATGGCGCCACCTCTGCAGCCACCCCCGCATTCGCCGACGACAGGCTCTCATGCTGTTGCCAGCGCCCCGCGGTGGTAATTGTTGGCGGGAAACGCAGCGGGCTTGTCAGGTAAGCTGAGGTATATGGCACGTGTGCCGAGGGGCAGGTTCTGCTACCTGCAGCTCAATGCGAGCCTAGCTGTCACTCACAGCCACTATGACACTATGTACACGCTGTGGCAGCAACAAACGCGGTGAGGATGGAAGTGTACATACACGGCTGTACAAACGCGTGCTGGCGACCGAACCGACAGGCACGTGGGGCCACCGTCGCCCCCGCGCACAAGGACACCAGATGCAGGTAACAGGTGCGATTATCAAGCACTTCCCCCGTCGCCGCGCCGATTCTTCCGTCGCCGCAGCGACTCCTTCGCTTGCCGCAAGCTCTTGTCGCCAAGGCGACGGCGCACGCGTCGCTTATCCGCGCAAACGAGGCACCGTCGCCGAGCAAATGAGTCGCCGTGGCAACGGCGGATGGAGAAGACTCGCGACCTTTGCTAGACCGCTGCTACTGCTGCTGCTGCTGCTGCTGCTGCTACTACGGTTGCTACTACTAGTACTACTGGTGTGTTGCTGCTGCTGCTGCTGCTGCTGCTACTACTGCTGCTACTACTACTACTACTGGTGTGTTGCTGCTGCTGCTGCGGCCGCCACGCGATTCATTAGGCCTGATCGATGGGTGACTTCCGTTGCAGCAAAGCCTAATGTGCACCGCATCCCTCTCCAGGCCCGCGGTGCAGGCCTCAACAGCAGTAGTAGCATTAGCAGCAGCAGCAGCAGCAATAGCAGCAGCAGCAGCAGCAGCAGCAGCAGTAGCAGCAGCAGCAGTAGCAGTAGCAGCAGCAGTAGTAGTAGCAGTAGTAGCAGCGGCAGCAGTAGCAGCACCAGCAGCAGTAGCAGCAGCAGCAGTAGCAGTAGCAGCAGCAGTAGTAGTAGCAGTAGTAGCAGCGGCAGCAGTAGCAGCACCAGCAGCAGTAGCAGCAGCAGCAGTAGCAGTAGCAGCAGCAGTAGTAGTAGTAGCAGTAGTAGCAGCAGCACCAGTAGCAGCACCAGCAGCAGTAGCAGCAGCAGCAGTAGCAGTAGCAGCAGCAGTAGTAGTAGTAGCAGTAGTAGCAGCGGCAGCAGTAGCAGCACCAGCAGCAGTAGCAGCAGCAGTAGCATTAGCAGCAGCGGCAGCAGTAGCAGCACCAGCAGCAGTAGCAGCAGCAG